GGATGTATTATATGGCTGTTTAAAGGAAGCTTTGAAAGCATAGAACCAGTTTCTTTCAGTATCAGATCGATACTAGGGTGATATGATCTGTACTTAAAGTCCAAGTGTTTTCTCAGTTGATAATGGCTGTGTTTGGCAGGATTAATTTTAAAGGTTCAATAATTACTGTAACTTATCTCAGCCACTTGTTCAAGCTCTTATTATGTTTAGCCAGTTACAAAAAAAAAAAAAGATAAGTGACCCTATGTAAAATTTGTAACCTAAGTGAGGACTCTTCATCCTGATTATCAAGAAAAGGAAGATTCGTGATATTACCAAATACCAAAATATACCAAAATCAGTCAAAACAAACTGAACATTTGGTATTATATGGCTGTTTAAAGGAAGAAAGAATCGAATGACTGCAAATAGAGATGGGCTCTCTCCAAATATCGATAATTAAGGCTAGTCTCAGTATCAGATTGATACTAGGATGATATGATCTGTACTTTTTTCTGTCCTCTAAGTTCAGTATATATGTAGAAATGTTTAGAAGCATTTTTGTGCTGACTGTTACATCTATTTTTCTATAGTCTAGTTTAGGTAGGTAGTATTAGTATCTTGGTATCTGCATCTGCAATACTTGATATTGGATAGATACCAAAATACCACCACTCTTGCAAAGTCATCACACATACAACTTCACATCATTTTTAGAGGTGTGGTGAAGCTTGTTGCGCATACATTATAATTGCTAATGTCCTTCCATGCGTGGCATACACAACATAACTGGAATGAAACATTAGCACCCTTCATTCTTACCAGGTATGTCCACCACAGCCCTCCACGTTTCTTCCCAGGGCGGGCATACATGTGTTTACCCTCATGGGTGGTGGTGTACTTTAAGTCCTTCATCTGTCGATATTTGACATGGGCAACAACCATCAGTGACGGGCATGTGACGAAAATGAGCTGCAGGGCCCACAGACTGATGTGGGAGATGGGGAAGAAGTGGTCATAGCACACGTTGGTGCAGCCTGGCTGTCTAGTGTTGCATTCAAAGTCTTTCCTTTCATCAGCCCACACCCGCTGAGCCGCCACCACAAACACCATCACCCGGAAGATGAAGACCACTGAGAGCCAGACCCGACCGAACACTGTGGAGTAATTGCTGACCCCACTGATAAGGGCCTGCAGCCAGTTCCAGTTCATGACAGATGTCCTAGAAGGGGAAGTGAAATCTGAGGGGTATATTTGATCTCCTCAAGAGATCAGGTGGAATGAAGTTCTTGATCCAAACCTGACCAGTCAAACAAGAAAATATATTAGAAGAATCTTTGTAGTTAAAACGTTGAAACAGTGTCAGTCAGGGATTTGTAACACACACACAAACACACACACTTGCTAGGAGTCATTTAAAGGCTACTTCAAATACTCAAATTTTTTCAAGCTCCAAATAGCTAGAATATATCATTCTATGATATTCAATCACATTCTGTTTTATTTATTTACTGCCAAATCACAACAATAATTGAACAGCAAGGTCAATTTTCTACAATAAGACAGAGAAAACCCCCAACAATCGTATGACCTGTTTGAGAGACTGGTTTGGCGATAGTGGGAAGGAAAAACTTGCTTTTGACAGGCAGAAACCTCCAGCAGAACCAGGCTTAGAAAGGGCAGCCATCTGCCATGACTGGTTGGGCGTGATAGGAGGAAGACATGATAAACACCAGCTGTGGAAGCCAGAGATTAATAATACCGAATGATTAAATGTAAAGAGGTGTATAAACATATGGTGAGTGAAAAAGGTGAGTGAAGAAAAAAACAGTCAGTGCATCATGGCAATTCCTCCAGCAGTGTCTGTCTCCTGAGTTTTGGTCCCGGTTCCATAGAAGAGGGGCCTGAAAGCTAAAGGCTCTAATTCCCATTCTACTTTCAAATACTCTGGGAACCACAAGTAACCCTTCAGTCTGAGAGCGAAGTGATCTATTGAGGTGATGTGGTACTATGGGATCTTTAAGATAAGATGTAGCCTGATTATTCAAGACCTTGTGTGTTAAGAGAAGGATTTTAAATTTATTTTTGAATTTATCGATGAGCAAATGAACAAAAGCCAATATGGGAGAAATATGCTAGTCTTTTCAGTCCCTGTCAGTATTCTTGTTGCATTTTGAATCAACTGAAGACTTTTCATGGAGTTTTTCAAACATCATAAACATAATAATGAATTACAGTAGTCCAGCATAGAAGTAATAAATGCATGAACTTTCAGTTTCACTCTGAGACATTGGATGTTTCTAAATTTAGAGATATTGCTCAAAAGCAAGAAACCAGTCCTACATAATTAATTAACATGCGCACTGAAGATCTTATCAAAAACGTCTCCAAGATTTCTCACAGTGTTACTGGAAATCAAGGTAATGCCATCCAGAGTAAGTATCCAGTTGGATATGTATTTCAAAGGTTTTTAGGGCTGATACAATAGACATATCAAGGTTAGTAGTCTCTGAGTTCAAGCTGATTTAAATCCTCAGGTCAATTTTGTGATGCTTTCAGTGGGTGCGCCTCTGTGTATGAATGTGTTTGTCTCAGTAATTCAACAACAGTAACTATGAAGCCACTGCAATTTTTCTCTGGCATTGTTTCCCAAAAGTAACGCATACAATCACAAACAAGAAAACTGTTCTGAACAACTGATAAGCCAAAAAATGAAGTTTGAGGAATCAAGCTGTTGTGACCACAAATACGATTTTGTTATTCCTTGTTACTCTTTTGCTTTTGCTTTATAATCCACCTGCCATCAGTGAGTGAGTCACCATCAAAGCTCCTCTTTGCGGAAAGAACCAAACCCACACCTGCAACATTATGAGTGAGCTGTTTGAAAGGACATCTTTGTTATCCCATAATTTTGGTTAAAATATTAACATGTGCATTTAACTGTCCAAACTTTAAAATTGTATGTGTTCTGGGAAACATACACAGTTTAGGATTTTTGAAAGTTTTGAAACATTTTAATACAAGACATAAAGAAGTTCTGCTGTGCTACAAACAGGTTTCAAAAACAAGAAACAAAAGCTTCTCTTTCACATTTACATCTCATTCTGGTAAATGCACACAGCCTGACAGGAAACATGTTGGATAACAGCTTCACTGTCCACTTTTCCATTTCAGTTCTGTCACATCTAATCCCGACTATTTGAATTCAGAAACACTTTCTCTCATCTCAGCATCACTATAGAGATATTGAGCTGTCAAATCAGTTGCTATTTTCTCTATTATCCAGCATTCCTGACTATTAAATTACACAGCATAAA